GGACTGCAGCTGTTGCCTGCTGCCTCCCAGGGTGCGCATCACAAGAGAGCTGGATGGGGAGTAGGAGAGCTAGGACTTGAGCCAGACACTTCTGTGTGGGAAGCGGACACCCAGCAGCATAACCACTGCGCCAGGTGTCTGCCCTTGAATTTTTATTAATGTGTAATGTGTCGCTTGTAACCTTTGTTGATTTAAAGTCCATTTTTGTCTTTGGATCTGAAGTAAGATTCTTAATAGCATGTAGGCAGATGTTTTTTCAATCAACCAATATGTGCCTTTGGATGAGAGATTATCCTTTTACAGCTTGTCCAGTCACTAATGAGGACCTCTGTCATTGTGCTGCTTGCTCTCTCCAGCTGCTTTTCCTCCTGTATTTTACACTGAAGTCTCATTTCCTTCTCTGTATATTCTGTAGCTGTTATCTTTCATTATTGGAATCATGTTTAGTGTTTTGGAGTTATAATATTCTACTTAGAATTTGAATTCATACCAGCAACATACAGGAATTTGTATTTTTTATTCCCTCTCCCTTTCAGTTGTTAATCTCACAAAGCTTTGTCTTCATACTTTGTGTTTCAAAAAAATATGTTTTTAATTTGTCAGTTCCTTAGATTATGTAGAAAACAGAATATGGAGTTAAAACCACACCAGCTTTTGTAACTTCCCAGATGCTTGCCTTTATTTCTTCATACAGCTTTGGTTCTTGTCTGCTGTACTTTTGTTTGAACCTGCCGCACTCTGCGTTTCTCAGATAACAGGTATTGTGATGATGAACACCCTTGGTTTTTTATTTACCTCAGAATGTCTTAACTTTTCCTTTCCCTGGAAAGGGCAGTTTTGCCAGGTATAGGCTCTCTGGTTGATTAAAAAAAAATTAGAGGCTGAAAAAGGGAGACAGAGCCCCTCTCTGCTGGACCACTCCCTGGATAACCCTGACAGCTAGGAGGTTAACACAGTCTCCTGTTGGGAAGCAGGCACAGAGTTCCTGGAGCTATCACTGCTGCCTTCCGGAGTCTGCATTAGAAGGAAGCCGGAATCAAAACCTGGGATGAGGCTCGAACCCAGGTCCTCTGGAACAGTACCTGAGCCTCTTAACTGGTGTCTTAGCTGCGAGGCTAACATGGACTTCCCTTACGCTGTAGCCAGATCAGCCTCTCTCTGACCTCTTGCGTTGCTCCTGGGAGGTGGCATCATGCGCTGAGCCCCTTCATGCTGCTCTCCAACTTCCTGCTTTCTGACTTTTCGTAGTTTGATAATGTGTCTTGAAGAGATTCTCTGAGTTCATCCTGCTTAGAATTTGTTCAGCTTTGGATGTTTGTCTTTGACCAAATTTGGAACCTTTTTGGTCATTGTTTTTCCAAACATTATTTCTCTCTCCTCCATTTGAGATGCCCAGAGTTTACATATTGGTCTGTTAATTGGAGTTCTACTTTACGCTCTGCTTTTTCTGCCACATTTTACTTTCTATTCCTCACACTCAGTAATTTCAACTCTTCTGTCTTTAGGTTTGCTGTTTTTCTCTTTGCCTGCTCTAGACTGCCTTTAAGTTTTGTGTATTTTCAAATTTTGGTTATTGTAGTTTTCAGCTCCAGAATTTCTCTTTCCTTTTTTGGGCGGGGCGGGTTGGGGAGAGGTTGTGCGGAGTTTTCTTTATCAGCACTGATTCATACTTATTTCATTCTTTATTCATATTTGTACTCTGTTTTCTTGACTTTCCATATTTTTTTAAAAAACAGTGTATTTAGGGCATTTTAAAGTGTGATAGGTCTGTCATCAGATCTTTCTAAGGCACAGTTTGGGATCATACATTGCTGTATGTATGCCTTGTTTTTAACTGTGAGCTGGACATTTCAACCTAGTAATATGGTAGCACTGGAAATCAGATTCTCTATTTTTGCTGGTTTTTTTTTTTCTATTTTTCTTTAACATTTGTTTTGTTTGACATGAAAGAGATAAAAAAGGGAGAGATAGCAAAGTCTTCCTTCCATTGTCCACTCTCCTAATGGCTACAACAACCAGGGCTGTGCCAGGCTGAGCCTGGAGCTAGAAGCTTCATCCGGGTCTCTCATGTTGATGCAGAGGCCTTTCTGTGCACATTAGCAGGAAGCTGGATTGCAAGAGGGACAGCAGAGATGTGAACTGGGTGCCACAAAGGGACGCTAGGGCTGCAAGGAGTGACTTGACTTCCCATACAATACTGGCCCTTTTTAAACATTATTATTTTTATGTCTTCTCTGTTCCAAGGAGAAACTTGAGATGTAAACTTGCATTTGGTGGAAGGGTGGGGCCCTGTACCTCTACCTGGATGTGTGTAGTGATTGTAATTCCATCATGTGTGGAGCTGCTTATGGCCTAGTCCTTAATAATTGAACACCCAAATAAGAAGAGAAATGAGAAAGGGTGGGGTGGCATCAGTCCTTCAGGAGTTTTGGCCGTCATTTCATGCAGGGAGTAGAGGCCCTGTCTTTTCACAAGCCAAGCCAGTGCACTGGAGAGAGGTAAATGAGCCTTAGCAGCTGTTCTTGGAGCGCGCATAATGTGATGGTGGAGAAATACAGTCTAGTGATGTGTGTGGCAGAGGTGCCGGTGAGGAAGCAGTGAAACACTCATGGAGGAGTGCTTCATTTGGCCTTGGAGGTTGGGGTAGGGAAGTCACGGGAACTACCGAAACTGAGAGAATCTCTAAGGAAGAGAATGGGATGATCTAAGCATCCTTGTAAGAGGCCGTAGCAAACGTGGAGATGGCTGACTGTAGGATAGGGAGTGTCAGCAGTTAAGATGGCAAGAAGGTGTAGACTAGAGCTGGAGCGTGCGGCGAGTTAAGCAGTTGGACGTGATCATATGGCACTGGGAAACAGAGTAGTCTGCGATCCTTATTTACATTTTTGTTTTCTGTGATTTAATTTATTTTTAGTCAGCTACAGTCTGAAAGTATTACATGGAAAATTCCAGAAATGAACAATTTGAAGCTTTCAAATTGCTTATGTGAAATCATGTGTCATCCTACTTGGCCCATGAATCATCCTCTTTCTAGTCTCAACATGTTATGTAGTGGTATACTTACCAAAGTTCAGAGAAAGATACAGTTGAAAGATAATGCACGTTTTCATGAGCTTGTTGAAGACCCCTCCCCATAGCTCCATGCCTGTCAGCTCCTCATTAGCGTCTTGGTTTTGGATTGACTCTCAGTATCAATTATGGTGTTCAAGTAACTCTTAGTTTACTTAAAAGGGGCCCAGAGCACCACAACAGTGATGCTGCCAATTCAGCTATTCCAAAGAAAAGTTATAAAATGTTCTTTAGTGCAAGTCGTCAAGTTAGTAAGAAAGAAAGTGTTATGCTGAGGTTACTAAGTTTTTTTTTTTTTTAATTTATTTTTCATTACAAAGACAGAGAAAGAGGAGGATAGAAAGGAAGATCTTCCATCTGATGATTCACTCCTCAAGGGACCGCAATGGCCGGTGCTACACCAGTCCGAAGCCAGGATTCAGAAACTTCCTCCAGGTCTCCCATACAGGTGCAGGGTCCCAAGGCTATGGGCCATCCTGGACTGCTTTCCCAGGCCACAAGCAGGGAGCTAGATGGGAAGCGGGACTGCCGGGATTAGAACTGGCGCCTATATGAGATCCTGGTGTGTGCAAGGCAAGGACTTTAGCTGCCAGGCCATGGCACCAGACCCAAGGTTACTAAAATTTATAGAGATCCCATTGACATAACTTTTACTATAGTATATTGTTTTAATTGTTCTACTTTTTTGTTGCTAATTTCTTCTCAGCTAAAAACTTAATAGAGGCTTCAGATAGCAAAGTAATATATTAACCTTCCGCTATCTTCAGGGGACACTTTACAGTGCCCCATTGAGTGGCTGACACTGCGGGTAATATCAAACCCTACTCACCTTGTTCTCTCCTCTGCATATTTATACCTGTAGAGAAGTTCAAATTTTGAATGAGGCATAACGAGATTAACAGTAGTAAGTGTAGATTTTAGTAACCTCAGCATAGGATATTTTTATCTGAAGAACTCAATAACTCACTTTTCTGCTTTAAGCAGCAGTTCGCTGGCTTTTCTTTGGCATATCCAAATTGCTGGCATCACCACTTGGCGTTTTGAGGCCACAACCAAATGAAAATAGGAGTTCTTGAACACAGCCTTGGTGAGGTCGGTTGGCTAGCAGGTGAGAAACAGGCAGGTGACCTACACAGGGTCTTGGGGTGACTGATACGGAGAATGTTGGGGTGTTGGTTAGGGTTAGATTTAGGGATGGGGAGAGGACAAAGCTTCATAGTTGGCAACTCAGAGACACCGATTCTGTATCCTGCCTTCTGGGAGCTCATACTAGACACACAAAAATGCAGCGTTAATAATATCCTCATCCCCTGGCACAGGACACAGTCCCCAGCTGACTGGCTTTGCAGTGGGCTGCCGGGGGAAATTATGTAGAAAGTCAGGGAACATCTGGAGTTAACAGGATTGGGGTGGAATCCCAGTGAAAGAAGAGAAGCATCTGTAATTGACATGTGCTCTGTCAGCAGCATGGCACTTTCCATAAGATTGCTAAAACCTTGCAGTTAAGGGCCCAGCACAGTAGCCTAGCAGCTAAAGTCTTTGCCTTGCATGCACCTGGATGCCATAGGGGTGCCAGTTCTAAACCCAGTGGCCCCGCTTCCCATCCATCTGGCATCACCACAATTGAGGACATCCTGGGGACCCAGCACCAGCATGAGAGATCTGGAAGAAACTCCCAGCACTGGCTTCAGATGTGTGCAGCTCCAGCTGTTGGGACCACTTGGGGAGTGAATTATCGGACAGAGGCTCTTCCTCTCTCTCGCTCCTCTTCTTGTGTATTTGACTTTCCAATAAAAATAAAATAAATTTATAAAAAACAAAACCTTGCAATCAAGTTTGAAATCAAGGATAGAAATCTCAAACTGTGATTTTACTTTAAAAAAAAAAAAAAAGCTCCCACCAGGACCGGGCTAAGAAGCTCAGCAGGGGGTCAGAGTTGTGGGTGAGTCCGCGGCAGTGTGTGCTTCCTCAGTGGTCTCTGCCGTCTGCAGAGTTAGAGCTGTGTTGTACCTCCTTACACAGTGAGGAAAGGGAGAAGGGTAGAGTGCCACGCAGGCTTCGTTTCACATGCGCTCCTGGTACCCAGCACTTAGGGATTTCAAACCTGGTTAAATCTAGTAGTAAAGAGGACTTGAACATAAATCGAATAAAACAGGAAAGAACCTGCCCCCTGGTTTGTGTGAAATGTGGAAGTTGAATATAACAAGCTCCAGAGAATTCTCAGACTTCCCTTCTGTTGAATTTCATAATCCAGAAAGCTAACAGCACTCAGGAGGTATTTTCAGAAGGAAAACTTGGGAGTTGTAGTGATGCAGTGATTGTCCAAATTCAAGGAGACTTAGACCTGTTACTTCAGTCTATAAAATCAGGGCTACTCTTGTTAATAACAAGTTACTCATTGATCTTTTCCCTAATTGTCTTGTAAGTATGCAGTCAGGTTACCTGGAAACTACATGATTCGGGATATTGAACAAATTGCACAAAGAGATACAGAGTTCCAGATTATTATAACTAACCATTGTCAGAATTTTTACTCAGTATGTATGCGGTTTTATAACATACTGCTTTTTGTTTCGTTTTTCCTTACAGAAATACACTTCCGGGAAATGGCCTCTAAATCTTGGCTGAATTTTCTAATCTTTCTCTGTGGATCAGCAATAGGATTTTTTTTATGTTCTCAACTGTTTAGTATTTTATTGAGAGAACAGGGTGACACCCAGCCTAAAATTCTTCATAATGATCCTCATGCTGGGCACTCGGAGGACAGTGGGCAGAACCACGCGCAAGGACAAATCAACTTCAATGCAGACTCGAGCCAACATAAAGGTATGGTTAGAGAGTAAATACAAACAGCATTTCTCAGTATTTGAGGAACTGTAGAGGGTATATAATTTTAAAATGTCTTCATTTTCATCTGTTTCTCTCTAGTCCAGTTCCAACACTGTGGGAAGACATTGACACAGTGCAGAGATCTCTGCAAACAGATGTGACAGAAAATACCCACACAGCTTGAAAACCATTAGAATTCTAGGATGCACAGGCTGCCCGTTTAGGAGTTTTTTTTTTTTTAATTAAAGACTTATTTATTGGAAAGTCAGATATACAGAGAAGAGGAGAGACAGAGAGGAAGATCTTCCGTCCGACGATTCACTCCCCAAGTGACCGCAATGGCCAATGCTATGCCAGTCCGAGGATCCAGGAACTTTTTCCGGGTCTCCCACACAAGTGCAAGGTCCCAAGGCTTTGGGCCATCCTCAACTGCTTTCCCAGGCCACAAGCAGGGAGCTGGATGGGAAGTGGAGCTGCCGGGATTAGAACTGGCACCCATATGGAATCCCGGTGCATTCAAGGCAAGGACTTTAGCTGCTAGGCCATGCCGCCCGGGCCCAAGTTATTTTTTTTTTTTAAGATTTGTTTTTATTCTTATTGGAAAGGCAGATATACAGAGAGAAGGAGAGACAGAGAGGAAGATCTTCCATCAATGGCTCACTCCCCAAGCAGCAGCAACAGCTGGAGCTGAGTCAACCCGAAGCCAGGAGCTCTTCCGGGAGTCCCACGTGGGTGTAGGATCCCACGGCTTTGGGCTGTCCTCAACTGCTTTCCCATACCACAAGCAGGGGGCTGGATGGGAAGTAGAGCTGCAGGGATTAGAACCGGCGCCCATATGGGATCCCAGGCGTTCAAGGTGAGCACCTTAACCATTACGCTTTCACGCCAGGCCCCAACTTTAATTTGGATATTTACTTTAACTTTGTATATATTCTAAAGAACTGTGTAGAATTTGGGTTGCAAGACTCATGGTTGATTAAATAAGTATTACATTGAAGTAAAACATTTACTGGAGAAGTTTGATTCAGTAATTTTGTCTAAGTACTCACAACTTACATACTTCATTTTAGTAATGGTTTGTTTTATAAAAGTATGGTTCTCTAACTGTTGGAAATAAAGGTGGTCTTTTACCACAGTTTGAGAATCTCATCATGGAGCTCCTTCTCCAGGTGAAATGGTACTGGCTGGATGTGAGTTGCTTATTTAAACCCAGCTTTCACCAGAATCTACATCGGTTTAAATTCTTAAACGCATTGCTTGCTTGAATGGACTCTGGTGGTGCTTGAGGGGTCGGCACAAGACTCCTATGAAGTAAGAAGGTATGTATTGCTTTATAATCTGGCATAAGGTCTCTTAAAAAGAGTTTAAAGGCAGAGAGAAATTCTGTCTACTGATTGGATCTGCAGATGTCCACCAGATCCAGAAACTCCATCTAGGACCCCCCCACCCCCCGAGTGTCATGTGCCCAAGCTCTTACTTAGACTGTCATCCACTGTCTTCCCAGGCACATCAGGAGGGAGCTGGCTCAAAAGCAGAGCAGCTGGGACCCGAAATCAACACTTACATGGGATGCTGGTGTCCTGCTGTACCACAGTGCCATCCCCTGGGTCTTTGCAAAGTGATCATTTTTAAAAGTGAAGTCTTAGGGCCTGGCATGGTAGCCTAGTGGCTAAATCCCCACCTTGTACACTCAGGATCCTATATGGGTGCTGCTTTGTGTCCCGGCTGTTCCACTTCCCATCGAAAGCCTTAGGACCCTGCATCCGTGTGGGAGACCTGGGAAGAGGTTCTTGACTCCCGGCTTTGGATCAGCTCCAGCTATTGCTGCCACTTGGGGAGGTAACCAGCAGACAGAATCTTTCTCTGTACATATGCCTTTTCTAATATCAATAAGTCTTTAAAAAAATAAGGCTCTAGCTAGTCTTGGAAATCTCACATTTATTTCTGGTAATTTGCATTTTGGCATTCTAAAACTTTGGTCTGATACTATTGGAAGTAAGTCTAACCACATATTAAGTCCTCTGCTTTGAACTGGGGTAACATGAAATCAAGCCTTTAGGGTCCTTACAGAAATTCCTCACAGTGTGTGGGCATTTGGTGTAGTGGTTAAGTTGCTTTTTTAGGACAGTCACAGGGCTTACTGGAGGGTCTGGGCCTCGTATCCACAGTACTGTAATCCATCTTCCTGCTAACATGTACGCTGGGATGCAGCAGGTGAAGGTGACCTTGCACGAGACCTTGGTGGGATTCTGAACTCCTGGCTTCAGTGTGGCCCAGCTTGGGCAGTTCCAGGCATGTGAGGAGCTGAACAGAGGATGGGGGAAATCTATCACTCAGCCTTTCGAATCTGTAAAAATATGATTAAAGAAAAAAAAATCCCAGCGGACTGTGGCAGCTTCAGAACTCCTTCCAGATGTTTCTTCAGCTAGTGAGAAATTGGTGTCAGTGTTGTTAAAAGCCTGCAGGAGCTTGCTCGGAAGTATGAAAGGCCAAGTGTGTTGGAATTACCAGGAGAACTTGTGCAATTCTGTCTGGGTAGGTCCTGAGTTCCTGCATTTCTAAGAAACTTCAAAACCAATATGAGTAAGAATTTATATCATTGTGACAACTCTTATTAGCTGCAGTCATTGTATAAGATTGACATTAAACTAGGAAATCAAAATGTCAGTCCATATTTACATGAATTTTGCTTTCCTTTAGCTAAATCATTTCTGAAAGATGGGTAGATAAGAAGGCCTTCAAAATTGTTTGGGAAGGTGTCCAGTGTGATTTTAATTTTGTCTATGTATAACTTATTTTTTTTTTAATAGATGAGAACACAGACATCGCTGAAAACCTCTATCAGAAAGTTAAAATTCTCTGCTGGGTTATGACAGGCCCTCAAAATCTAGAGAAAAAGGCCAAACATGTCAAAGTGACATGGGCCCAGCGCTGTAATAAAGTGTTGTTTATGAGTTCAGAAGAAAATAAAGACTTCCCTACTGTGGGATTAAAAACCAAAGAAGGCCGAGATCAACTGTATTGGAAAACAATTAAAGCTTTTCAGTATGTTTATGACCATCATTTAGACGATGCTGATTGGTTTATGAAAGCAGATGATGATACCTATGTCATACTGGACAACTTGAGATGGCTTCTTTCAAAATATGACCCTGAACAACCAGTTTACTTTGGGAGGAGATTTAAGCCCTATGTGAAGCAAGGCTACATGAGTGGAGGAGCGGGGTACGTACTAAGCAAAGAAGCCCTGAGGAGATTTGTTGATGCATTCAGAACAGACAAATGTACGCATAGTTCTTCTATTGAAGACTTGGCCCTCGGGAGGTGCATGGAAATCCTCAATGTGCAAGCAGGGGACTCCAGAGACACCACTGGGAAAGAGACTTTTCATCCCTTTGTCCCAGAACATCACCTAATCAAAGGTTACCTGCCTAGGACCTTTTGGTACTGGAATTACAACTACTATCCTCCTATTGAGGTAAGCTTCAAAGGTGATTACTGTAAATTCTGGTGCTGGTTGATTTGCTCTGAAATTTGAAGAACATGTATCTACTGGTTCACTCTCCAAATTATAAATCTGCTAGATGCTAAGCACCCTACAGTGCACAGCATAGCCCCCCAAAACAAACAGCTACCTGGCCCAAAATGTCAGCCCCCAAGCTGCGGGTGATGAGCTATAAAAATCCAGTACAGCCCATCACTGCTGCTGGCACTGCCAGTGTTCTTGTTGCTTACATAGATGCGAGAGCTAATTTGGGCAGTCAATCTCCATATCGTAGATGTCTCAACTACTCAGACAAGTTAGGCCACTTGGCCATGAGATTTCTTTAGGGAAATACCAGATTATCATCCTTGTCCATACTGAGAAGTCTGAAGCTTCATTGAAATCTGTGCATCCCCAAATTGTCCCTGTAACTATTGCATTCAGAGTCAGGTTTTTTCTTCCTGACTTCATATTCTTGCTTAAACCTGTTTTCATGCCAAGCCAATTAACATTCCATGAGAAGTATAATTGGACCCTGTGTTAAAGCTGGCTCACCTGATGCAGCCTAAATGCAGTTATTCTATCAATAATAGTGTTTGAGATTTTAGGGAAGTGACATCCCAAATTTCATATCCCTTGTTTTTCAGTAATCACTTACTGCAGATGGGGGAAGCAAAGCTTACCAGGATTCAAGTATCAATGTGGTCACTGGACACTGCAGTAGCTGTCTCTCCAAGGCTGGGACAAGTACAGTTAAAGTGAAAACTTTGATGAGAAAACAAAAGTTAGAGAAAGCTGTGTCCTTTATACAAGTGCCACTTTCATTTAAAGACATCAAGAACTTTTATCTGCAAAAACACTTAAGAAGGTAGTTAAAAATAAAGATGCAGAAGGGTCTGGCACACACAAGAAGGAACTCTTGCTTCCGAAATTACAGCAGTAATAAGTAAATAACAAAAGTAATAAATTAGTGCCTTGGCTTTACCATCGACATCACTCATGCTTAATTTTGTTTTTTAACATAAGTCCTTGTTAGGTATATGTTGTAGAATAATGACATATGGTTTTAACAATGTATGTTTCCACTGTTTTTTTTTAGGGTCCGGGTTGCTGTTCTGATCTTGCAGTTTCTTTTCATTATGTTGATTCTACAACTATGTATGAATTGGAATACCTCGTTTATCATCTTCGCCCATATGGTTATTTATATAGATATCAACCTGACTTACCTAAAAATACATTAAAGGAAGTAAGTCAAGCAAACAAAAATGAAGATTCAAAAGTAAAATTAGGAAACCGCTGAAGGAAGAAGTCTGGCATTGCATTGAAGGACTCTGCGTGCTTTACAGGAGCCTGGATCTCAGTGAGCAATTCTAAGTGAACATTCCACAGACATCTTTGATACATAAGTGACTCTAAACTGAAGCTTTAAAAGAGCTGTGAAGTCTGCTAAAATGTGTTTTTGATACAGTAATATATATATATATATATGAAGAACGTGTGCTTTAAAGCCAGGTAGAGGAACAGGAGATTTGTTGTCTGTTTCTGACCGTGTGTATTATTGTCAGTTTGGTAGAATAATACTGCACTGTGTTAGCAACATACAATACTAAACTGATCTGCCTTAAAGAAAATTTTAGAAGGGAGTGTCGTTATTCAGTGTTTATAAACTCAAGAATTGAGCTTATATTTGCAACATATTAAGTGAACCAACCCCCTACCACCACTACTCCCAAACTAGCATTTTTGTCTATTGAAAGATGGCTGAGATAATTAATGATTGGCAGTATTTCTTCCAGGAAAACAGAATGCACCTACCTTAAAGTGCATTAATAAAACCATATTTTGAAATTATCCTGGGCCTTGACTATGTTATATACTTACTGTTCTGATTAGTAGTTAACCACTCTTCAGTACTACTCTGCACTATTAATATTTATTTACTCACAGCATTAATTGCTTTCTATAAATACGCATTTTAAGTTATTTTGCTCCCAAATATCCCATTATTTTAGGCAACTAGTAAATAAATATAATGCTATTTAGGCATATATTTCTTGTATCACTGCCACTCTCAGGAATAATTAAGTAACATTTTTATTTAAGACTTTTCCAACTGCATTATTTCATTTTACTTTTGTGTTAAGAGATAAGAACTTGTTTGTGCCTTTCATAACTTGTTTAAAGCAGAGTTGGTAAAGCACTTTGAAGATCTGAGGTGGCTATTACTGTGGCAAAATATTCTGAATGGAAGATTTTGTGAATTTAAAACATTAGACAGTGCAGAATGCTTAAGTAAGCCAAGTAGTTTAACTGAAAGACCAAACACTTGAGGATAAGAACCTGAAGTTGCTTGCTGACTTAGGATTTGGGGATTATTGTTTGGCCAGTGGACAGTTTTAACAAAGCTGAATACTCCTCCAATATGCTCATCAAAAACATGTTCATAAATCACTTATATTCATTATAAAGAGCTTCTGGAAGGAAGGGAAGTTCTTGTCTACAGTAATGAGTGCCGAGTGTATGGTGACAATATACTAAAGCTGCAGATTACTTTGAATGTTAGATTGACCTTTCCCATGTCGTTATGCTGACTTTACCTGGCTGTCACGCCGTGACTCTGCTGCTTCCCTAAATATATTGTGCCAAAACATGTCAAAACCATGACCTGTTGGTGTTCTGTGTGAGCAAGTGTTCATCTGATGTGGCTAGTTGTGGAGTGCTCTGTCTACATAACGAAAACACGTACCACTTGTTCAGTCTGCAGTTGTTGATGGGGTCATGTGACCTGCCAAGACTCCACAGTATTCATCTGTTCTTCCAACAGAGCCGCTTCTGAGGTGGACACAAATTCATTTGTAACCCACGTATGCTTTTCTTTTTGCTAGAGGTATAAATTCTTTATCGTGACCATCCAAAAACCTTGAAATTCACACCTAGGAAATTCACATGGAGAAGAATCTTCTGCTCTGGAGTCAGACTGCCTTGGTTGAAGTTTGTTTTTGAGCAACGTCACAAGATGCCCTGTGCCTCAGTTCTCTCATCTGTAAGTTAGGGATAATAATTCTACCTACCTCACAGGAGTTATACGAGGATTAAATAAGTAAATGCTTGTGGAAGGCTCTGAGCATATTGGCCCAGAATAAGAAGTGAGAGATTGTTTTCTTATATCTGACTGTAAATAATTAAATGATCAAATTCAGACATTGAAGGGAACACTTTGTACATTTTAGGCTAGCTGGTAAATTATCTAGTGCCTGTTGTATGATAGGTGCTGTGCTTAAACGCTCTAAAGGTCAATGTTAATCCTCACGTTGGGTGATCTCACTGTACACATGAGGAAACTGAGGTTCAGAGAACTAAGGTAACTTCTCCACAATCACAGAACTAGATTTATACTTAAAGTCTGTATTTACTGGTACCATGTCAGATTGGAGTTAGCCATTTAGTATTCTTTCCGTTTTTATTGGCAGCATGTGACAGGACCAGTACTAGATTAGCCAGCCAAATTGTCGGAGTGATTCCTGTGTTCTGAGGGTCACGCTCTTGCCCAGGACTCACTAAGATGTCCAGTTCCCAGCCCAGCGATTGCTGGGAGCGTGCACTCTTAACCATGGCAAGGCTGTGGTCTCAAGGAGCTGCTTTCACTGTCACACTCCGGTCCACACCTTGTGCTCAGAAATGTCACCGAGGAGCCTGGCTTTACTGTTGAGACAAGCCCTACAGGTTAGTCATTTTCACTGTAGTTCGATGCAGATGGGTCTGGCACACACTGAAAGTTACTGCCTTATGCATAAAGTATTTCTCATGCTTTGGTGACAAATGTTTTAAATCCCTGTAGTCCAGGATTACACTATGTTCATTGTAAACTAATTTAAAAGTTTCAAGGGTCAGTGGATTAGCCATTTCAGCAAAATTTCTTAGCGCCTCCAAACTGGTCCGTCAGCCCACAGTATGGTTCTCCAAGCTCAGCAGTTCCACTCTAGTGTAGGAAGGGTTCATGAAGTACTAATAAAATACACTTCGTTAAAAGCATAGAAGAATGTGCTCTGTTACTAGAGTTTTAAATAGGGATAGAAAATGGAGTTATAGTATGCAAAGCATTTTTCAACAGATTCATACTATCAGTTTAAAATTGTCACAAGAACCATTTATCTTATATGACCTAAAAACAAAAAAAAATTAAGTATTTAATATAGTACATAAAACCAGATTTCCTGATACTGTTTGAGTCGGTGCTTTCCGTGTGCTGTCAGAACACAGGCTTTGGATGGCCTCTGCTCTTGCATTGTCCTCTAATGGCGGGCTCACAGACAGAAGGCAGAGTTTTGTCCCAAAGTTTGCCTCCAGACACCGTAAACCTTAGAGGAGTTTTTGTTTCTGTAATGATATTCACAAAATAAGTCACCAGGTTTTAATGTGGTTATTAGATTTGGGCATTAAAATCACTGTTTAACTTTCCATAATTGATGCCTTTTTCCTTCCTTGAACCTGTGATACCGTTCCTGGCAGCCCGAGGTGCTCCCCACCCACCCCAGTCTGTTTCAGCACATCTGAGCTGCTTGGCTTCACCTAAGTTTTCAGTAGACCGTTGTATCCTTCAGAGTGTGTGTGTCCTTGCATCAGTGCCCTTCTGTAGCTAACCTCGGCCTTCTAGCTGCCTTCACAGGGTTCCTTTGGTCGATTCACCTGTAGCTGTCTGTGAGATGACTGGAAGTGAGCATCTGAGTGAGCAATGACTGCTGGCACTCAGAACGCCCGTCCTGCCGTTGCTGCACCTACAGTTGTACTCACCCTTCTCAGAAACAGAAAAGTGAAACCCTGCCCCATTTTTCCACTTCCTCACATTATGCCTGACTGAAACATACTTAACAGGTCTAGGGGACAGTCTGTGATATGTTTTATGCTAAATAGAACTTGTGATGGTTTAAAACTTATTTATATCTGAGATGAAATCAAAATTGTAACAAATTGGAACAAGAATTTTACAAACACTTTAGAAAACTGCTCTATTTCAACTCCTTTTTACCTCTGGTTTCCAGGTTACATTAGTCAGGTTTGAGTAGCTTTGCAGGAACATGCCAATTAATAATCTACATGAAGTATATTATTAGAGGGAAACTAATCTTACTGCTAAGCAGTGTGCTGTACTATGTAGTGAATGTCTGCGTTTTGAAATTTTACAGTTATTTAAGGTAATAGTGTCATGAATGGTTTGAAAATGTCTGGTGACTTGCTTATTTTAAGTGATCACCATTAAGTCAGAAAAATGTATTTTCAAATGTTTTTTAAAGTGCCTTTTGAAATTTTTAAACAATTTAAACTGCATAAAATAAATCACCATGTTCAAAGTTGTTTTGTCTGTTCATTTTTAAACACCATAAGAAGTTGTGGGATAAATCTTATGGGTAGTCTCTGGGTTATTTTTTCAAAAATTCTAAGTTGTTTTCTCATCACAATTCTTGAGTTTTACTAGGTTTACATAACTTTACAGCACTATACATTACTTATCCTAAAGCAACAGAATGCACCATGCCGTGGGATGCACTTTTAAACAATCAGCCACTCCGCTATGACTGTATGGTGGAAAGGTACATTGGTGCTCACAGTAGCAATCTGGACACAGTGTTTTACTTCTGCCAACTAACGAGGTTTCAACTTTTGTGAGCTTTGTAATTTTTTCACAGACCTTTTTCTAAACTTTGTTCTCCCACTATTGCAAAATTACGTTATAGAGTATAGATTAAATTTCACTTTCTGCTAATTTCATCGTCATTGTAAGACTGGGAGGAGGAAATAGTTTTGGAACGGTAATCAAGATTGAACGCTGCAGCTTTGGGGGTGGGGGTTGAGAGAGAACCAGAGACAGATTGGCTTGGTGTTGGTTACTTGAATGTTGATGCTGAGTAAATGTATAATAATCATTTTTCTTTGATGGAGGTGAAGCTAAACATGGGATTAGAATAACTGGCTACAGAAAGCTCAGCTTCCCCACCCTTCTGCTGTTGAATTTCTGGCTGTTTGAACCTTCCTCTACTCTTTTTCTTTCATTTTCCTTCCTTCTCATTGGCAGCTGTTCCTATTTTTTCCAGTTGCCCCAATTTCTATAGCACATACCCTTAATTACATTTAACGAGCTGGAGTTTCCTCTAACCAATTTAAGAAACGCTGGGGGGAGGAAGAGACAGAGAACATACCCCAGCATGATCCCCAAATCTTCACTTCCAGGGAGATCATCTCAGGGGAAATGTGGAGGGCTCTCCACAAGGTCACTAAGAGCCTGGACTAAGTTTCCTTCATCCCAGCTGACGTCATCGCTGCCAAAGCAGTCTTCAGGCTTTGACAGCACTCATGTCAAGGAGGAGTTCTTAGGAACAGAATCAAGAAGTCTTCTACCTTATGCAAAACACTGAGGCCAAGGATTTGCTGGTTTACTGGAAGTAAGGTTCAAACAATAGTGAGATACATAGATCAGAGATTCGTAACAAAGCTAGTATCTTGTTACTGCTACCGGCCTGCTAATGCGAGAAGCATCTAAAAGGAGGTGGACAAGGAAAACTTAAGAAGCGCTCAGCTCCCTATTAAGTATACACACGTCTTGTTACCCTGTCTGATTCCACAGGTACTGAGGTACACAGGAATAGTTCATGAAAAGGGGGAAGTATTTTAAAAATTAGATTGCAGGGCCCTGAGCAGTAGCCTGCAGCTTGGGTTGTTGCCTTGCATGCTCCAGGATCCCAAATGGACACTGGTTCATGTCCCGATGACTCTGCCTTCCATCCAGCTCCCTGCTTGTGGCCTGGGAGGGTCGTCGAGAACAGCCCAGGGCCTTGGGACCTTTCACCCATGTGGGAGACCCAGAAGCTCCTGGCTCCTGGCTTCAGATTGGCTCAGCTCCAGCCAATGTGGCCACTTGGGAGTGAATCAATGAAGGGAAGATCTTCCTCTCTGTCTTTCCTCCTCTCTGTATATCTGACTTTCCAATTTAAAAAAAAAAATCTTTAAAAAGTTAGATTTCAGACTCCTAGTGAGCAGGGACCTCCTGGATAGAGCGGCTTTGGATCAGCACCACATTCTTAACCCTTGTTAACCAAGAAGCCAGCAGTGGTTTAAAAACAGGAGCTGGACCCCTGACGTCCAAGAGCACGTGAGGTCTCCACTACAGAGTCGTGAGAGCCAACGACTGGCAAAGGAAAAGGGGAGCAGATGGAGGCATGGTTCATAGAATGAAGCAACTGTTGTGACAAGACAAAAACACTAATTCGTGCTAATCATGGAGAGAAACTAATCTTTGTAGAAAAAAATGAACTTTCAGTTCCACTTTGTTAACTTGAAATAACTTTCTACTGTAGTAAATGCTAATTTTAACTTTTCTTTTTTTAAATACAGTTCTTGAACTTGGCCACAGACTGCAAATAAAGTGCAGCTTGGGGAAAATGGCACCCAAACCACAGTAAGACCAGATGACTTCCCTGCAAGGAGACTAGCACTTAATTTGTGTTCTACTTTTGAGAACTAATGCAGGGGATAGCCAGCCGAGCCTGGGTCCCCTGGGTCGCTGGAGTCCATTCACCAGCAGACCTGGAGGTAAAGTGGGGTTTGGGTGAGCAGGAAGGATCCCAGAGTGCTTCAGGGGCTGTGTGCATCGTCTGATAAAGAATGACTAAAGGTACCAAGTGCGCAGTAGTTCATAAGGAAGGTCGCCAAGAGAGAGGTAAGTAAAACAGTTGGTCCAAACACGGCCAGCAGCCCGCTCTTGACCCAACTTGGCACCCTTTTATCCACACCAGGGCCTAAGCACACTAAGCTGCTGCTGTGTATTCAAGTAGCTTCAAGGTTTGGAGTCTAAATTATTTTTATCCAAGTCTGGCCTAAGCCGTCTTATCTTGAATGGAGCTAGGGAAAAACGACTGCACCCTTTCTCCCCAGAAAAATACAGGAGCACCGGCACTGAGACCCTTGTTTTAAAGACACGAAGCTGGTCTGGAGAGAGATGGCACAGGTAATGCCAGATTTAACACAACTCTGTTTTCCAGACTCCTTCGTCAGTGGTGTTTGGTTCCTAGTTCTTACCTTTCTTGCACAACCTCAGGTATGTACTTTCTACTGCTAAATATAACTCACATGGCCTGGTCCAGCAATTCTGTGCACTTTGTAAGCTGATTCTAGCTACCTGTGATGGCTGCCAGGCACTGTCACCAGGCTGCATACTTCATCTGTGTGTCTAATCACTGCGAGGAGGTATCAGTGCATTGTAATACGAAGGAAATGGAAGCCCAGGAAAGGTAGGCTTTATGCCTAGAGTGGGCTGAACTGTGTCTGCCAGCACCCCCAAAATGTTGACTGATTTGCAGATAGGATCTTTACTGATACAATTAAGTATCTAGAGGGACTCATACTGGATTTAGGGTAAGCCCAGAATCCAGTGACTGCATTCAAATCAAACTAAAAGGAAGGAGAGGGCCAGAGTGGGACACTTGGCAGGCCAGGAGAAATGGGAGATGGAGACAGACTTTGGAGTTGCCTCAAGCCACTGCAAAGGATCCTACCCTGAAGCTTCCAGCAGGAGGGCAGTGCTGCTAACACCTCGCGCTCACGCTCAGGGATTCCACAAGTGCAAGACAACAACCTTTCTGTTGTGAAAAGTCACCAAGAAACTAGCAGAGCTTACCGTGACAGCTGGCAAGGGGCCAGGTGAGGATGCAGTGGGGCATCGAACTCAGAAGTTCTCGGGAACAGTAAACAATACACAGGGCAATAAGTTCACATCCGGCTTCCTGGATTCTAGTCACTGCGCAAGTGTTGTGCTGTGTTGCTTTTATGCTTTTAGATGTTCTATTTTTCCTGTGCTGCTCTTATAGTTTCCTCTAAATCACAAGGTGAAAGTGGATTTCTTTTTAGAAGCCTTCTTTGTGTTGGTTAGTCCTGCCCCAGACTTCCCTTTGTGGCGTTTTGTGCATTTTTTTTAAATTACTTTGTGAATTATCTAAGGAATTTGTTTTTTTAAGCATCTAAGAACAAGAATCATATCCCACTTTCTGGAACCACTGTTCTGGATGTGGGGGAGCCCTAGGCAGGTTTGCTACTCAAGGAAAGATTTTTTAAATATCCACATTGTATCATCAGGCAAGAAACCTGGACATTTGTCTTAGAAGATTACAGGCCACAAAGGAGAGAACAAAGCCAAAGAGAGTCAGGGATAATTTGTTATTTTATGTTAAGGAGAAAGCTCAGGTTGGTTTCCTCTGCAGTGACCACTGGATGTGACAAGGCACTGTCCCTCATGCCCTCTTGGTGCTGTGCTTCCTGGAGCCCTGAGCAGGCAATGTTGGCAACACATGGGCAGGGTGGCTCTAAGAGAACCAGCATGGTTCTCTTGAAATTTGCATTTCAAGGTACAAATTTTACATTCTAGAAGAGGTTCCTAAAACCAAACCGAAACCAAAACAAAAACCAGCAACAACAA